AGCAGATTAGAAATACAAAGCTTCACAACTGGCTCTCACCTGGCAGCGGCCACGGTAATGATCGCCAACAAGGAAACAGGGGGTGGATATTGGTACCTTATTGTGTAGTTTTGCCATTTGGGGGCAGTCCTTCTGTGACCGGACGGCGTTGACCTACAAGTCAGGAAAGTCACGCGAACCGGGCCGGCACAAGGACAAGGACCCCGGGGACGACCTACATTCAAAAACCGGCAAGCGGGATACCCGCCGTGCCGCTCATCTTTTCTGTTTTTCTGTTTTTCTTTTTCTGCCCACACCCCGACCTTGGTAATTGGCAAACAATGAGAAATCGACTGAAAACTAAATGGTGGCGAAATTCCAATGCTACCGTACCGCAGCAGAGTCAGAAGTCGAAATTCCATAGCGGTTCATCGTGTCGGTCCCCGCAGAGGAAGGGAGAGGGGCCCGAGGGGGAAAATGAGTAGAGATGACGCTTCGTCTCGGCCCGTTTGACAGGGACCGGGGAGGCTGAGAATTCCAGAAGACGCGGCGATCAGACGAAACCCGTGCAACAAGTTCAACGACACGGCTGAAGAAAGTACGGGTAGTCTTCACGAGAAGAAACGCTCTTGTGTATGCTGCTGTGAAAATGGGATATTCGCATACGCCATAGATGGGGTTTGCGGAAATTGTCACTGACTTGTAACCCTCTGCGCCTGTCAGCCATAAACTCATGGCAGAGGCCTAGGAAACAAGGGAAGAGTACTTTCCAGGACAGACGTGATACGCAGCCGGCAGGTCACAGGAGGCGCTCGAAGAAGCATTCATTGACCTGTGATTTGGAAGCTCTGATGGAGCCAAATCGACGCGCCCAAGCCCATCGCAGCCACGCAGAGGACGTCATCAATGCAACGAAGCGGTATCCCAAAGTGGAGGTATGGGGAGGTCTCATGACGGACGCCCCCGACGCCAATCACTACCGAACTCGAGCCGCCGCACCGAAACCGTTGAGAGCGGCGCACCGTCTGCTTGGGAATTTGGATTGACATGTGGCGTATTACACAGTAGGTTGAGGTGGTAAGGTGTTCCGGAAATAACAGCGGGTGGGCGCGAAGGCGCCGCAGATTTGCAAGATCTGTTCATGCCAGGCACTCGTAGCGGCTAATGAGACTGGCGGCTGGGGGAGCCGTCGATACGCCGGCGACCTGGTTCGGCGTATCCGTAGTCTGCGACCCTGAAACGCAGGAGGTGACGGCGTTTTTGCCCCGCCAAGGTTGCAAGGCTGTATTTGTTGTTGTCGATACGTTCCATCTATCCCGTGGCATTTGGAATGTAGGGGTTAGCTACCCTGTGAGACCATAGGATTCGGCCTAGGTCTCCAGAATTGGTCGGGTTGTAAGGTCGGTATGACTTTCTAAAACCACAAGTCTAGATCAGCATTCTTTGTTGATGTTGCCGTTCCATACACCTATTGGCCCCCCTTGAAATGAGCTGAGCTGAGCTTGGCAACAACAATTTTGCAGCTGACTGAAGGATCATCTCCAAATCGAGGTGTTGGTTGTGGCAATAAAACCATAAGGAACAAAGCCTCTCACGTAAAGGAGCCAATTGGGCAATCCAGAGGTTAAGGTGGATCTGGCCTGCAAGTCTGGGCACGCGTATTGAAACCTATCGAGGATGAAGCTGCCTCTTTGGGTTCAACTCCCTCTGATGCCCTGGTTGTAAGAATCCTTCGTCCAAGGTAGTTGAACTCCCAAAACAATGGTTCAGCCGCTGATTGGCTTCGGACAGGCGGTGAGAGAGGAAACAGATCTTCTCTCCTTCGTGGTAGAGAGTTTTCGAAGCCACCGAAAGCCCCAATTGGCAGATCTGAGAGATGAGATTGAAATAGACACAGAGAGCGAACAAAGCCTTTGCCGCCCACACCGTCAACCACTTGGCTGGGGTTTCCCGACCCTCTGGCTCAGCTGCCCTGGGTTGAACCCGGCACAGTGACAAATGGAGTGTAAGACGTCAACTGCGTAGGCAGAACGCAATTCAATACCAATCGTTCCTAGTTCATGCACATTCGATGTGTGTCTTTAGGATGCCCAAGACGTGCTCCGTAATTAGAGAAAAGGGTCCGACGGGTAATCAACACATGGGAGCGTCGATCCAAGCCAATCTTTCCGTAGCGCCACTCAAACCCGCAGACTTCATTAGTCGGCGGGTATGATCTGCCACCAAAGGGGCTCCATTTGGTGCGACCGAGGTGCCGGTCAATTACTTGACCTCCAAGACCCATCCCATTAGAGCAAGGACAGACAAGTGAGACGGAGTCCATGAAGTCCGAATCGATTCGAACATCCTGTAACAGCAACCAACAAAGAGGGGAAGCGGCCGCTTTGCAGAATAATAGAAAAATCTTGTTGGTCAATACATGCACACGAAAGGGTCGAGGAGATGTAGCCGCTGCAAGTCATTCGAGTCGTGCGTGACGTGACGACACAAAGTTGAGCTGTTTGAGTCCTCTGTCTGGTTTCTCTGGTAGAGTTGTCGAGGGCTGTCCTTCCGCGGGCCCCGCACCATGCAGAGAAAACCGTTTCCAGTAAAGCTCGGAGCCGGATTTGAGGCCAGTTGCATCGATGCTGTCCACGGGTGGTATTCGAGCGGGGCTCAGGGAACTTCTTGAGAGCTTGGGACCGCTAACTCTAAGAGGGTCGTCCCTCGGCTGGCAGAACTTCGATATGATTGCTGAAGATTTCAACGACCCGACTGGCCAGATGGGCTTGTTTTCTTTGGGGGGTATCATCGCCGTGATCGCCAACTCCGGCGGGCGGCGGGTCATATGCGGCTGCTATGCGGTTGGTTCTAACAGTCACTGCTCGTTGGCCAGAACGATCCCACGTTGCTTCTATTTACCCTGAGTCGGGGGCTGGTTGATGCACATGACGAAAACACCTGTCTGTACCTAATCCATGAAAGAAGGTCTTTACAGAGTCCTGGTCGTCTGCAACGATGTTTGCACCAATAGTTGCCCGCCTGCAGCGCCGGCGACACGCTTGATTGGATACAGGCAGGTTGGCGGCAACTCGTCCACCAGGACGTGTCATCTCTCACCTGCCACTGAAAGACGTTGTTGCAGCCGGTCTGCATCTTGACTTTTGACTTTTGCCTCGCAGTCCGGATTGGGAACAGGGGCAATAGCTAGTATTCCCGTGCCATGGAGTCTTTGCCCCTTTGTCTGGCAAAGGCGGAACCTGGAAGATATAGCTCGTAATCTGTCAGTTGCCGTCGGCCGAGTGGGAATACTTGAATCGTCCGCCGAGATGATTGCCGGGTCTGGCCTAGGTAAGCTCGTGGATAAGATCCATTGCAAACGCCCCAAGCCCAAAATGTGCCTTTTGATGAGGCAGCCATATCGAAATTGGACCCGGCCGCGTGGGTAGAAGAAGGTGGCCGTCTTCGGTTCGCGTGTCGAGGCAAAGTAAATCGGGTGGCGTGGCGTCAGGGTTCCGTCAAATCGTTTACGGCCGATTCAGCCATATCTCCAAGCGAGAATCCCGCCCCCGCAGCGCGGACCCAGAGCAACCATAGGGTGAATTGCCCGCCTCCCCGAGGCCGGCCCAGGAGGAGTGACAACAGTGGGTGTCACCGGTATGCAGCTTGTGGTGTTCCGGACCTGCGATGCGATGCACCGCTGTGCAGCTGCGGGGTGGCATGATTCTTCTATAGTTATGTAGTGTCAGGCAAGTGGGCGAGTGCCTGACTGGCCCAGAAAATTTTCTGTCTGCCTTTGGCCGGGTCGCTGCATTGTAGACACCGGCTGTCCCTGGGTTACCGTGTATGTGATGTAAATTCGAGGCAAAGTGTATGGCGATGGTTCCCTGTAGCTGTAGCTGCACCCGTGTCTGATGCGTCAGTACTCGTGTTTGCGTGGCGCCGAAACCCTAGGTTAACGTCGACAGCGACTTTGACATTCGACCTTGACACTGTCCGCTATCCTGATGGGTAGTGACACAAAGATGAGTCGACATATGGGTACGTCGTTCAACGTGTGCATGTCAATAAGCAAAAGATGGCGTAGAAGCACGCATGGAACATTGTCGTTTCGGTGCAAGAGACCAATAAGGGGTGGAGAGAAACCCAGCGCCCCTTCGGCCGAGATAGTACGTGTGAAAGCAAAGGCGTGTCCTGTGTAGCCGTCCGCGGTGGACGTGTGTCTATATTCGTAGCTTTGAACGAATAGGTATCCGCAGTTGGGGGCTAGAATAGAATACAGCAAAGGTATCTGTACTCCGTATTCAAGTATGTGTCCGTATGTAGGCATTGGTCAGAGCAGCCCAAACAGGGCATGTTGCGGTTGGCAAAGACAGCCTTACAGGCCTGGCAGGTCTGACGTTTTCTGGTTGCTAAGACTCTGCGGGCGGTGATGTCTGACCGCCTCGTGCATTGGCATTGATTGATCGAGCTGTGCCGTTCGCTGCTTTCGTCTCCCGCGGGTGAGTATCCCAACAAGCTGGTTCGGCTTCGGTGGTTATCTGTTTGCCTTGGACCAGATCCTTGGGGTCACATTGAAAGAGGCGGGCGATTTTGGGGAGAGAGGTCAGAGAAGGCATCTCTGCGCGTTAGACAGCTAAGCGCCCGTGCCAATGCTTCTCGAACAAAAAAAACAAAAAGCATTGTCGTGACCGCTGGGCTGGGATTGACGAGGGCACTGTGTAATGTGTTTTCTTGAGACAAACCGTGACCAGATATGATTGCGGCCGTAAGATGAAAGTGGGGGAGAAGAGCAGGCCAGGTTATTGTTCGCGTGGATGCCGGCCCAAAAGAGAAGGCCTTTCGAGGAGTTGGGGGCTGGAAGCTTGGAAGTCGAAAGGAGTTTGGGATTTGACGGGAGCATCAGGCTAGATGACCGGGCTGGAAGCGTACGATACCCAAGCCCTGCGAGAGGTAACGCAGCAGGGGCCTGGCTGTGATTCATCAATTCAACCGTTCGTGGCTCCTTCTGCCTGGCTTGTCGCTGCTGCTGGTTCCTTCCAATGCTGGCGATTGCCGAAGTTCTGCTCTTGCTCTTTCTCTTGCGCCTGCTCTCGCACTCTGGCTCCTGCCCCATACATCGTGAGGTGGGCAGGCCCAGTACCTCTGGGGCATCTGGCGATGAAGCGACAGAGCGTCTCGGGAAGTCGGTCCTTACGCAGCAGGTACCTCAAGTATCCAGGTACACCTTGCACGGATACCTCTTACCTAAGGACTAAGGTTGATAGACGGGTCGGTCCAGATCGCTCCTTACATAATCCCGCGACTGCTCATGTTTGGTTTGTGCTGGAGAAGACGGGATGAAATGTGCAGTGCGCTTGCATCGCCCCGGTGCTTGGGCTCTGAATCTCTGATGGGCCCATGGGAAATCTCGAGTTCGTCTCTCGTTCCGTCTCCGCAGAGCGCCTGGGCCTCGATGCGCCCAGAGAGTCGTGTCCCGTTCCCCCCGACGAATCTCATGAGAGTGAGATACAGTATGAGCAGTGTTGCTCCGTAGTAAATGACACTGGAACAGAATAGACAACCCAAAAACACACGCATACACCGGGAGCTTTGGAAAGAAGTGGCCCAACCGTACCGAATGCCAGGCCCCCGTTCAATCCCTGTCCTATCCGCCCAAACGTGAAATCCACACCAGCCCGTCCAAGGGATCCGACAGTGCAAATCCCCCCTTCCGGCGACGAGAAAACCCAACCTAAAAGACCAACCCATAAGAAAGTGGCTAGTGCAGGGCACCCAGATACGTGGGACAGTCTATCGGGTATCCGGACAATGGGCAAACGGGGTTATTACGGATACCTCAGTGGGCTCAGAGACAAGTCTGACAGAAGAACCAACTGTGACGAGAGTGAGACAGACAAGACAGCATTTCAAGAGAAGAATAAGCAAACAATCCCAACCGCTGGAGGAAGAATAGGACGCAACCTGAAAATGGGCTTTTGCCATGAGCAAGGGGAAAACCAGTCTCCGCCTGCGGGCTCATGAGACCGCCCGCTCGTTAGGACACCACACACACAAACACACACACATACGGATACACACCCCAGATCGACTCATATCTGACACGTGCTGACAACGAGGAGGTAAAGGAGCGGTAAAGCGGAGACTTCTGACGAATAAACACGAGGGCCGAACAGCAGGCAGGTCTGCGGCTTGTCGGGCTTTTGCCAAGATGGATTCGCGAATCCTTCCTGTTGGTAACGGAATTTCAATCCCTCCTCGCCCTCTTCCTTTTTCTCACCCAACCCTTACCTTGCTGCTTCGCCTCACCACTGCTGCCATCCTATCCTTCTCCTCGGGATTGTGGAACGTGAAGTTTCCCCTTTGACGGGATTTTCTTGATCCTGGGGTGGGTGGTCTCGGGGATGAAGTACTGGGATCGTCGTCGGTTTATGGACGGGAATACCATCCGCCCGGGGGTTCAGTTGGGATTGGAATGGGGCGAGGGGGGCGGCGAGGGGGAGGCCTAACGGACTGGAAGTCACATCGCGGCGCAAGTGAACCTCACTAATAACCTAATAGAGATTTCGTTTGGCTGGAAGATGGGGCCATGTTGTGAAGTCTAGACTCTGAACTTCTAAAGAGAACTTGCCCTGATCAGCAAGGGACGGAGTCTCGGATGATAGACGGAGCAATGCCTGGGTACGTAGTCCAGAAGGAAACAGTCTTATTACCTTGCGAAGTACGTATCGTTTGCAGTTCAACTCTCTAAAGTCTCCCGGATGCTCAAATCGTCTTTGGCGCGCGTACTGAGGGAAAGCAGGAAGAGGGAGGTGATGATAAGGTACGATGGATGCACATTGAAATGAACAAGGTGCAACCGCCCGCATTTAGCCTCTCCTCGAAAAAGAGGCGTGTCTACCTATTCTCCGTACCTGAACGTTTGATCGCTGGACCACGCGCTTGTCCTCCCCCCCTTCCTCACGATACCCCAATACATGTACGAACAGGTACGGAGAACGGTGTATTCCTCTTTGGGGACGCTAGGTCCGACATCTCGTTCCATTGGCCTGGCTTCCAAAGGGAAAGAGGAGGGGGGCAAGGGTACGTAGCTTAGAGGTTGGATTTCCAACGAGGCGAGATGCCGTGATTCCTTACTTTACTTTAATCCTCCCCCCCCTCTTTCCCCTTGGTCTCCGATGAAGTGTCCAATCCCATTGTTTGATTGATTCTTGCGGATTACTCTTTCCAGCTTGGGGAGGACGGGACCCAAGCCACGCAAAGGCCTGTCGGGCTGCGGCTCACTTCTGGCTCCTCACGCAGGTTTCTCGTCAGATGGTTGACATGGGGTTTTGCATTTACTTCCTGGGTGTCGTTGCTAGTTCGTTGCGTGAACGGATATTATCAGCCCAGGCCAGACTCAACCAAGGGGGGGAACAGATGTCGCGCGAAAAGCTCGGATGGACAACGAAAGAAGTGGAGGTTCCTCGGCTTATTCAATGAACAACCAACCCGTACGCTTGTTTCTTCCCCTTTTTGTTTGGTAGTGGTGTGGGTTTTCCCGTATCTTCCTGCGACCTGCACCTGCATCTTATATCGCATCGGTCAAACAAAGTGGAGGACGTTGCGGTACCCGGTTCCGTACCTCTCAACTAAGTACGTACGGATAACCCTTTCTGAGATTCGAGAACCACAGGAACCACAGGAACCACAGGATGGAGATGGGCCGAGGAACGGGGCGCCGGGGAAAGCGTCCTCTTGCATCTACCTTACTGCGTATCTGGGCTAGCACGCCCAGAAAGAGTACACTTATATCCGCGACCCGGTGCGGGAAGGTAAAAAAGAAGGGAAAGGGAGGCCCGTCCGACTAAACCATTTCGGGTCCGGCTTGCTATCAAAAAGATGGCGGGCCCCCCATCCGTCCCGTTCGAACGATAGGTATCCGTACCTTAGGATGAGGTACGGAGTAAGTGGTGCACAACATACCGCAGGTTGAAGGGACTAGGACTAATAAGGTGGTCGGTGATACTCCGTACAATTCGTAGCTGTCTGGTCTGGTCTCTTTTTATTTTCTTTTTTTCCAATCTCCCCTTTTTTCTGATTGCGCCGAGTCGATCTAGATTTCGCAGCCCGCAAATGATATCTCTAATGGTAGGTACTGTACGGAGTAGCAACATCGCTTACGGCAAAAAAGGTGTGCAGCCAATTGACGAATCCGTTTCGACCTTTTTTTTTTTTTTTTTTGTCTTTCTTCTCGTTCGATCCGAGGTTCTGGTTGCCGGCTTTTTCTTCAACACCAGCTTTCTGGTCCCCAACCCAACAAACACACAACCCCGTTCTTCCCATTCCTCTCTCTCGGGTCCCGTACGCCCGTTCTCTTCCTTGGCCTTTACCGCCCTTTTCCCATCCGGAATCTAAATGATCAATGAGACAGGTCCAGCAGCGGCTGGAATGCTAAGAGCCTAAGAAGGGATGTGGACGGGAAGGCTGAAAACTAACAACCTAGCCACAAAGTTGAGGGGGGGTTTCCTCAAAGTTTTTAATTACAAACGAACAATCCCATATCCCTATTCGCAGTCTGGGCTATAGTAATCCAGGGCTTAGTTGGCTTGGTAGGGTACTTTTGCATCAGCCACAAAAAGCTGTCTACTCAGTCTTCCATAGTACACCTTGGTTGCTTAGAGGTACTCAATGTGGGAACAAGTACGCTACGGAACGCCTGGATATGAGCAATGGCGCGCGCCATCTTTCTAGGCAAGCTAAGCTAGCTGATTGCTTACCGCCCCTTCTGAAGGTTTCTTTCGACCTGGGCAGCTGGAAAACCAACAACCATGACCTGGGGGCGTGAGCTGGCTTTAGTGAGAGAGACAGTAAGGAGCATATTAATATAGCCTATGCCTATGCCGAGCCTCTCCCCCCAAGGTAGCGCACCCGACGATGCGGGATGGGATGGTGGGTGTTTGTTTGTTTGTGTGAGGCGTACCGGTACATGTGTTTTTGTTTCTTCTCCGCGGATGCAACGAGAATGTCTTTCGAGAGGTCGTTTTCCTTCAGGCTTCGAAAAGACCTACTCCCTGTGTGTGCCTGTGTCTGTCTCTGAGCCTCACATGCAATGCAATCAGCCAGGTTCCAGACTCTGCACATCTTACTTCCTGCTGCTGCAAGTTCGCAGAGGCACAATGTATGTACGATGAGGGGAGGGGTCTTAGCTAAGACGTGTATAACGGATGTCAGACTCAGGAACGAACACTACCTTCAAAGAGTTTGGGTTCCTCGGCTTCCCATGGGAGGGAGAGCAAGAGAAAGACAGAGACTTTGAATGGGATTGGACAAGGGAGACAGACACTTCCCCCCCTCGTCCCCGATGGGCTAAGCTCCGGACATATACAAGAGCCAGCTCCGTGCGAATCCCGGGGCTTGGAGACCCACCTCTAGCAAATTCCCACAGTCCCGTCGTGCCTCTTTCCTGGGACAGGGATATCTGCAACCTGGTGGTTCTGGACAGGGTTGCCAGGGTTCTCAGGCAGACCCCACTTGAGGGACACGGTTCCAGTCTTCCTGTTCCCAGTGAGAGGGCGCCCCGCTCTCCCAGTGTTCGCAGTGCCAGAGATTCGCACATCGCAGAACCCAGAAAAGCTCGGACATTCTTCCCAATTGGAAGGTACCAGGGCCCCCCGCTTCTCTGGGCCTCGTCTTCTCCACCCTTTTGTGCCAGCCGATGGCCATGGTTCATTCACCAGTGACCACCTCACAATCACAGAGGTGAGAGGTGAGCGCAGCAGAGACCGGGACGGGTACGCAGTACGGAGTGTGTACATACCTTACTGTTGTTCGTCGTTGTCTTCCAACACGCCCACTCGCCGCCCCTCCCTCGTCTCCCGTCCTCCGGGCAGGCTCCTCGTCCAACCCAACTTCCGTGCTTCCCAATGGAAGAGAGAACCTGAGCCTCTGAGGTGGATTATGGATTGTGGATTGTTGCTGGGATAGGTTTCTGGCGGTACGTATCGTCGTCTCCCCACCCGCCACGACCACCCCCATCCACACAGTTCGCGATTCCACACACAACACACCCCTGGTCGCAGTCGTAGTCGCAGTCCCAATCCCCGGTCCCAAGTGTCCCAGTGCCTGTGCTGACGCTTGGTATGCTTGGTGCTGGCTGGCTGGAATGTGTCTCTGGGCTGTCGGGTGTCTGTCGCAATTCTGGTGTGTCCTTCCCTCCGGTACGGCTAGGTAGGTACGTACCCCTCTCACACTCTAGCAGCACCAGCACCAGCACCAGCACCAGCAGGAGGGGGACCCGCCCCATTTGTGGATCTCGTCTCCGGCATGGGGCCATTCCACTCGTCGACGAGCCATGGGAGCCACCGTGCTGTGACCAGTCACCACTTTCCCAGCGAGGTGGGTTTTTAGTGTTACCACTGCATTGGAGTCCATGTTTGGTTTGGCCGCCGTCTGGTCTTTTTGTGGTGGGTTCCTACGTAGTATGTCTTTTGCGTCTTGCCCCGTCTCTGGCCCGGTCTCTTTCCTGCTGCCCACGCCTCTGTTGTGTCTGCACTGCGTACGGATAGTGTACGGATACCCTGTGCTGTGCTGTGTTGTGGTGCCGTTTCTTCATGGTACGGATACAGACACAGATACGTCGCTGCATCTTGCATCAAGTTCGCCAAATTGACCGACCGGCCGACCGACCGGGCATACAGAGAACATGGAGCATCGGGCGTGAACATCAACATGTGGTGCGCTGCACCGGGCGTGGATGAGGACAGCTGCAAAGTCTGGGACCGAACTAGCATTGGCGTTGGTGAATGGACTGGATTGGTCGTGTCATGGAGCTGCAACCCGACGCAAGACGCAACCTGCAAGAGAAGAAAGAGGCAGAGCCATCGGTAATGAGAGAGCAAGGCCTGCTAGGGACCTACCCTACGGTAGATAGAGTAATGTTGCAGGAGGAGTTGCAGACAGCCTGGAGAGGAGGTATGTGTATCCGTACCTCACACAGTAGTGTAAAGGTACATTTACGAATAGAGAATGGAAGACGAGACTCAGAGTCCAGAAGCCACCACCCCCCCATTGGAAGTCACCAAGGAAAACCAAACCAAAGCCTGGCACCTGCCTTTCCACCCAGCACTAGCCCTTCTCGACTCTAGCCTCCCTCAACCTTGCCTCTTAGCACGCTGCACCTTGTTTTCCCACTTTTTCCCACACTTCCTTTCAACCACCTCCTCCCCGTCAACTTACCTTGCTTTCCCGTCCTTCTTCTTCCTCGTCTTCCCCCTTCTTACACCACACCCTCTCTCCCAGGCCGACTCATTCCGAACAACTTGAACAGTTCGTTCGTGATCCGACTCCTGCTCTCTTTCTCGCCCGTTCCACAAAAAGGTCACGGCAAGAAGAGGACAAACACCGTCTTGCGAAGGATCTTGCTTTCGCCAGCACTCACATCTCGACTTTCCCGCTTCGCTGTAACCGCCGACGATCGACGCCCAGTTAATCGCCTCAGGTCCCTGGTCCCATCTGTCTAAGACTGCACGTACCAACATCGCTCAACCACACAGCACCGTTTCTCCCACCCATCTTCGCATTACACCTCACCCACGCCACCCGTACACTCGACTGGTTACAAAACGATAAACCGACTTCTCGTTTCCCTCAAATACAATTGTCCCTTCTCGCAAACCTACCACAACAGCAGCAATCCGGTCCTGTTCATTTGGATTTTAGTGCACTGCAGATCCTACCGTCTATCCCCAGAGCAGCCCACAATTGACCCAGGGATCCCACGTTTTCGCAATCGATCCGACTAAAACACAAACCTGCAACTACATCGCTAAACATGAGTTCGCCAGCACAGGCCGGGCCTTCGGTCCCGAAGGAGAAGAAGGGTTTGGGCAAGATTCTGTCTCGCGCCAAAACTGTCTTCAAGAGAGGCGATAGCTCCAAGCGCATGTCGACCCTGTCTACCACTGGACAGCAGTCTTCTGCGCAAGCCGCTACCCCTGGGTAAGCAAGATATTTCGCATGCTTTATTATCTTCAACTCTTTTTTGGTGTTACGGTACCCTGCCTGCTTTACCTATCTAACGTGCATACAGCCCATCCACCGCCGCCCCTGCGACCGAGCAACCTGCCGCTGCCACCACCACCAAGGAGACCGCCAAGGACACCACCAAGAAGGAGGCCCCCAAGAGCAAGTACGAGGATCTCGAGGGCGTCACCAGGGTTCCCCGATCCGAGCTGTTTGAGGAGCGCGCCAGGAAGTTGGGCGAGAGATTCGGCCTCGAGATCAAGCAGAGCGAGTGGATCTCTACCGAGGGCACTGCTCTCCGCGTCGAGAAGCCCATTCGCATGCGCGTACACCGAACCTGCCACAAGTGCAATGCTACCTTTGCTGCCGCCAAAGAGTGCCCGGGCTGCCAGCACGTTCGTTGCACCAAGTGCGTCCGCCACCCGCCCAAGCGAACCGAGGCCGAGCGCATCGCCAGCCGGGAGAAGCGGGCCGCCATTCTCAAGGCTCAGAAGGAGAACGCACCCATTGTTCCCGACTACTCTTACGACGCCAAGAACGCAAAGGACATTGTCCTCAAGCGCCCCAGCAAGACCGGAGGACAGGATCTCATTTACAAGAAGCCGCGTCAGAGGGTCAGGAGAACTTGCCACGAGTGCCAGACGCTGTTCACTGCTGGTAGCAAGACATGCTCCAAGTGCAGCCACAACCGCTGCACTGACTGTCCCAGAGACCCGTATGTTGCACCATTCCGTGTGTCGAGACTGACAGCTAATATTGTATCAGGCCCAAGAAGGACAAGTATCCGTTTGGTTACCCTGGCGACGAATTTGGACCGAATGCTGTGCCGCATCACGAATGCCATAAGTGCAAGACGATATACCCTGGAGGTGTGGAAGATGGAACCGCATGCAAGAAATGTCAGCATGAGAAGTGTGTCGACTGTTCTCGTCTGAAGCCACGCAAGGTCGAACCCGAGCCAGACCCAGAGATACTCAAGAGCATACAGGCCAAGATCGAGAGTCTAAAACTCAAGTAATGACACAGCCAGCCATGACTTTTTTACACCGTTCGACTTGATTGAGTTGGATTGGAGGCTCTTGGATATGGCGGAGTGGTGGATCTCTACTAGCGAGCTTACGGCATTTACTGGTCAACCTCCATCTCTACGGCGCTTCACAAGTCCTTCATCCGATTTATTCATGTCGCACATGCATTCAACATCTTTTTCTTTCTTGCACTACAACGACACTACACGACTATCCACCACCATCATCATCTGCATCACATCATACCTTTTATTCCGCCGCTGCCATACATACCCCTCTGTCTTGACCACCAGTCAGAGGGATGACGATGAACAAGAAGCATTCACGCACCATGCGATCACGACCCAGCATTGTCTCGACCAAACAAAAGTACCTTTTACTGCCGAGCGAAGCGACCTTTACCTACTGCATACAACTAGCCTGTTTCGAAGAGAAAAGAAAGAAAGAATTGAGGGAGAGGAGACGTACCCTGACGCACCTGGATTGGGAGGAGGGGGTGGATCAGGCCATAATCGCGGAAGACGGGACGAATCGGAGTCTGGCGGCTTGGAATGAAGCAGAGGAGTTGCATTGCAGCGACAAAGAACAGAGCAGTAATACTAGGCGTACGGACCAGAACCGACAAGACGGGTCCAATCAGGGTGGGCGGATTAGCCTACAAGCGGAAAGCGAATTATTCTCCTTTCATCTCATCATCACCTTCTTGCCATCTCTCACGAATCATCATTTACTCATACTACTACCACTTGGTACTTTTTATTAAAGTATACCCAAAGAACGGGCTTCTGACCCCCAACCTTGGCTTTTGGATAGGCTATTGTCCCTTTTTCCCCAATTGTGTCATATGAGACTGTGATCGACCTATTACCGTGAAATGTCCGAGAACGTATCATCGGCCCGAATCTTCGGGGTGGTCCTACACTAAGAGAATAATCTCATCTGACCTTTTTCTCTCCTTCTAGTGGTAGGTGACGAAGACTGAGTCGTGGTTTTCCTTCCCCCGACGATGTCACTTGGTGTAACGTAACCTGTGGGATGTCTTAATTCCAAAACTGTTAAGACGTGCCGAGGTGCCAAAAAAGCAAGTTTGGACAGAAAACGGGATTTTTGGTTCTGATTGAGTTGTCGGCTACCGTGGTACGGGTCTAGACAATTTGCCAAGCACGGACGGACCATTGGAACCCGCTTCAGAACCCGGGAAGTCGGTCGGCAACGGTTTTTCCTTCGAGGTTGTTGTGGTGTTGTTGCGTACCTCTCTCTTTTTTTTTGGTACCACGAGCCCGTGAGCCCGGGAGGTGGTGGTGCCTTGAAAGGGGGTGGCGGAAGCGGGAATCGGGATCATTGGGTGCGGTGTGATGGAGGGGTGTGTGTGTGTGTGTGTGGGTGAGGTGGGTGTTGGTGTTCCATTGGGGGCTTGGTTTGCGGGCGGTGTCCGTTTGTGAGGGCGGATTGGATACGGTTTCTCGGGCTTTTCATTTTCGTGAGAAGAAATTATGGAAGGTTTCTGAAGCTACAATGGGGGGGTGGTCTTGTTTCTTGATGGGCCTTGGAAAAGGTTTCCACTGGCTTGGTTGGCTTCGCCACGATGGGTGCAGAAGATGTATGTTGGTTGGTTGTCAGTTGCATCTATCTGTACACTACATACTTAGTCTCGTGTGTATGTGTGTGTGTGTGTATGCGGATGGGTTGGGGCGACCTCAGCCGACCCGGCCGCCCCAAAAACCCGTAAATCCGTATGACAGACACCCCTTCTAGAAGGTAAGCTAGAAAAGGGGCCGAGAAGAACCTAGGGGGGCCTAGACAACGTTGTCTTTTTTCAAAGATTCTAGTCGTTGGGTGGGAAAGGGCGGTTATCGTAGGACGAATAAGGGTCCCAGGCATAGAGCGTGCATACAATCTTGGGGTTAGGTTTACGGGCTCTGCTCTCTCTCTCTGCTGACGTGCGTTGCGTGCGGTTTTGGGGGCCAGAGTTCGTGTCTGCACGTGTACGGGGGTATAGCGTTGCAGAATTATAGGGAGAGGGAGGTTGTGTGTAACTACACCGTAGCAGCAGTAGAGAGTGGGAACAGTTTGGTGTGTGTAGTGAAGTCAAGGTAATCCGGTGGCGTTTTTGCTTAGTTTCCCTTTTTCCAAGATTTGTTCGGTCGGTCCTATCCGCCGGGTGTGTGGGTGTGGTGGTGAACCCGTCAGCCCGTTCGTGTGTGTTGCGCGTCTGTCCCCCGTCCGGCAGTTTGGGTTCTGGTGGATGGTTGGCTGGTTACGCTGCTGGGGAACCACGGAACGTTTCTTCTCCTTCTCCCTCCTCCTCCTCCTCCTCCTCCTCGCAACCCCTTCCCTCCTGTCATATCTCGTTCCACTCATTTGGTGGTATATGTTATGAGACCTAATCTGTGGGTAGATAGCTTAGCTTACGGGATATTCATAGGATGAGGTTCGTTTAAGATGATCTTGAGGGGAGGTGAGTGGCGGGGCTGAAGAGAAGGAGTGTGGCTGGGCCTTCTTCGCTGATTGGGTGGTGTTGTTGTTTCTTGTTAAGATGATGGCGTTTACGTGTGTGTCTGTGTGTATGTGTCTGGGATATACTCGTCGACTAGCTGATATCTCGCATTCGAGGTTGTAGATGTTGCGGATCCCAGCTTGGATGTGTGTCACCTACCTAACTCGTCGACTTACTCTTTGGACAGTCAATGTCTCTCACAGGGGAGTGAAGATGTTACCATCTTGGTCATCTCTTGCCGCCCGGCGTATCCGTCTTGGCTTGTTGTCCAAGTAGTATTGGCTAAAGACTCATATGACGATGTGCTCTAGCCAGCTACAGCCTATCAGGCTAGATGATTCACATGGAAATACCAAGAAATGCAAAGGCACGTTCATGTCCGACTAAACACTCCAAAGAACCGGATGGTAACATCAAATCCTAACGGCGTCTATGTAGTATTCCTAATCTATACAGGGTTCTGATGCCTGTCTATCCTAACAAGTACCGTCTCATGTTCCTTCGTCAGAAATGAGACACTTCTCTCCTCAGCGACGTCGTAGGCGTCCCGCCTAGGCGCCATCCTCACGTACGGATTGCTCAAACTGGATCACGCTGCCAGGAGGCAGGGCAGGCCCGAAAGTCTCGACGCGGGTCCGCTTCTGGCCAATGTACGCCGTCTTGAACGTGTCGATGCGCTGGTTGAGTCGCTGCTGCACGTCACGCACGATGCCTTTCTGCACCTCAGCAAGAACTTTGGCTTGGCCATCGAGCAGGGGTAGGAGCTTATGCGTGGGGTAGAATCGGCCCTTGAGATCCGGCTCGCGAAGGACAGCGTTCTGCTTGAGGAGCACGCAGCGCCAGCGGTCGCTCGCGGCAAACTTATTGCGGAACGCAATCTCGTCGCGCAGTGGGCGCGGGAGTTTGTCATCCGGTACTGGGATGCCACCCACGGGTTGGTTGTCGCCGGTGATGGGCTGGTATATATCTCCCTTGAAGAATGCGTTACCAGGTGAATCGATAGGCGCGGTGCAGATCTCACGGAGGCCGAGGAGTGCGTCGGGGAGATTCGCCGCCGCGGGAGGTACGCCTTGCTCAGCGGAAAGACGCACGCGCAGGACATCACCGAGTTCGATCCGCTCGGCGCCCAGGAAGATACCGTGGTAGTCGATCTTCTTCCCTCCATTGGTCTCGGAAAGTCGGCTGAAAACAGAGAACGACACGCCAACCTTCTGGGCGGCCATCTTGGAGGAGTCGAGTAGCGCAACCTCGCGGCGATGCGTGTCTTCCGGAGTAATCGTCTGGAAGAAGGCATCCCAATCGACCTCGTCGTAGGCCTTGTTTTGTAGATCCGAAATGCTGACGTTAGGCACCGAAAATGCAAGAAACGGGCGCGTTGTCGCTTCCAGTGTCTGGATGGGCGACTGATTAAAGTTGACATGTGACATTGGGAGAATCTGAAGCTCGGCTTTGTTGGTATTAGGGTTGATAATACCTGTAGCAGCCACGATGCCCAAACGCCAACCTGACGATATCTGGAACCAAACCAGTTCTCCGACGCGGAAGAGCGCCGGAGCTACAATTCCACCGTAAGGCGGCGGGTAAGGCAGGAACTGCGGTTGCTGATAGACCGGCGGTGCCGGCGCATGCACCTGAGGTTGAACCTGCTGTTGAGCCTGGGTCGGAGCTGGTGCAGGCTGTTGCTGAACTTGCTGTTCCTGCTGGGTCGGCTGCTGGATTTGTTGCTGGACTGGTTGCTGGACTTGAGGTTGAACGGGAACCTGTGATGGAGCCTGAGCTTGCGGATGAACAGGAGTTGCCTGGATCGGCTGAGGAGGGTGCTGCTGCTGCTGTTGCTGCACAGGAGGCTTAGGCTGAACTGGGGCTTGCGCCGGGGCGGGGGCTGGCACCGCACGTGAAGGTATCGTCGGTATCGGAACTGGAGTTTCCTTCTTCGCCATTGGGGTGGGCACTGGCACAGGTGTCTCCTTCTTCGCGATGGGAGGCGTTGACGCCGCTGCGGGAACGGGTATCGGGGACCCCGCAACGCCTGGCGGTATTTGAGGTGTAATCTTGCGCATCTTTGACGGTGGCTGAGTGTTGTTCGCTGCTGGCAGAGGCCGAGGAACATCCGAGACAGTCAAATCCTCCATGTTTGGCATTTCGCGAACGTTGCAGTGAATGCAACGGCAGTCAGTTCGGTCCATCGAGCCGGACAGGAGCCATAGGACATGAAGACCAAATTCCTGCGGGCTCTTGTAAAGCTTCGACTTTACTGGATGCCCCGAGACCCAAAGATGCTTGGACTTTTCGTACAGCCAGTAGCCCCGTGGAAAATGCAGGAGCCAGGGGAGACCCTCTAGGAAGGGTATCAGTGAATGTACTACTTCTCATTTGCGGACGACGAGCTTACCTGTCGGAGAGAGTTCTTGCTTCAACAAGATTCCCAGCTTTATGCGCCACTCTTGAAATCTTGCGTCATCTTTGTCTAACCGCACCATTTGAGGTTTCGCTCTTGGTACCTTCTCCAGTGCTGTCTTCTTCGCGTTCTTCGCAGCCGTATCGGCAGGGGTTGGCCAGTAACCCGCTCCATTGTCCTGGCCGTCGCTTCGACACACGTTGACAACTGAGTACTCTACTAAGTCGGACATCTTGGGTTGATGTGTGATTGCTCAGATGTCGACGACAGTGAGGTTCGCGCCAGGGCCGAATGAGAGCTCGGATGAGATGAACGGCCGCCTCAGACAGTCCCTAGGTGTCCAGAGGCAGCTTTCCAGGAATTCCGTGAGTCAAATTTTTGGGGAATTAATAGCTGAGATGACCGCGGGATAAGCTAGATGTGCTAGCACATACTGCGCTTTTGTTGATGAAGTCCGTCGCGAGCTATGAAGTGGATCTGGTCTCGTGGTGGGTTCACTTCGTTCGATGTTGCTCAGGACAGTAGGCACCTGCCCCAAGTAGCCTGAGTTGTCGATCCAATTCGAATCCTGTATGGGAGCAGGAAATATTCGGAGATAGCCAAGTACGATTAAAGTGCAATTATTCGCTGTCTGTCGCAGAGATTTGTTTGTCGTGAAGTTGAGCTCTTCGAAGTTGAAAGAGGTTGAAGGTTCAAGGAGCTCAGAGGTGAACGTGCACGCCTGTTTTCTTAGTCAGCGGGTCCACACCATGCAGAAGGTACCGCGATGGGTCCCTCGCCTAATCCAACCTCCCTTCTCCGGGAAAGGACGCGGCCGTGAGGGTTTCTATACACCATATGCCGCTCAACTCCTATTGGGCATTCGAACTCTTCTCACGAAGGCATGTTGAGAATATCCATATGTTTAAAGGTTAGTATAATTGTCAAAATAGCTCGGCGATACTTTGCTTTACACCATTTGTCGTGTTCCTCCTGGGGCCTGTTCGGCGAACTGCGCCACACAAGCCAGCCACCGAAGCCATGTGTGCCGTCAAGTCACACTGCCTTACCTTCAAGCAGCACGGAATCACAAGAACTGCAATTGGACCGCCAATGGATGTTTTTTGAAGGGCAACATCCCTGATCGACTATTCGGCTCTCAGCACCAGGATTGGATTCAATATCAAATTATAGCTATGAAAGTTCTCTCTAATGTTCAGCGCCATAGCATATAGACTAAACAGTCGTAATCTTCCTCTTGGGGATGAATCTGTGGTACTTCGTACTCTGCGTGGTCTTCCTCCGAAACCCCTCTGGGCTTTTCGATACGCTTCCAGTAGAGCTCCTCGGCGTCTTTGAGCAGTCTGTCCGCTTCCAGTTCACGACCAGATATCTGATAGAGAGCCTCTGAAAGCTTGTGCAGACAGCGAGCATGCTCCCCTACCTGGATATCCTTTCGCAATGATGTAATTGCCATCGCGTCTTGGAGGTATTTCCTGGGTGGTGTTAACAAAGGCCACTATATGTTTCCAGATCTAGACTTACACAGCTCGTTCCACCTCTCCTTCGAGTAGCGCGCAACATCCCATGCGGTAAATTGTAGCCGCGTAGAAGTCCGACGTTCTGGAACTGTTGCCCGTGAGCCATATGCTCTGCGCCTTTTGGAACAAGAGCTCAGCAAGCTTGAAGTCTCCTTCGAACATGGCTAGTCTAGCACGAGCGAACTGACACCTAGGCAAAATAACGAGACATTAGCCGGAGCTGTCCCAAGCACTTAAGATTGAGTCCGTTCTCAGGGGTTCAGAACTTACGGTCCCGCCGTCCCCCAAATGACCGGCTTGGTCGTAAGCATGTCCTCTAGGGATTCGTCGATGTCGGTTCTAGCTTCGTCGTACCTCTTCATGTAAGCCAAAGTTCTCCCCTTGCCGTATCTTTGGTTCGGGTGCCAATGGAATTCAACATTCTCAGACTTGGCCCATCGCTCCCAAGAAACCCTGCTGGTTTCCTGCCATTCCAGAGCGGTCTTATACTCGCCTAAGCAGGAGTAAAATGCAGATATGTTGTTCGCCATCCAGCTCAAATTTTGGTGATCTTCTTGAGGAGCCTTCAACTTCATGTTGCGTGCGCTCACCATCACCTCTATTGCCAGGCGATAGTGACCTCGGCGCGCCCACATCTGTGCAATATACGTGTCCGGCGAGGTTAGGTTGTACAGCTCAGGGTCCTGTTCAGGAAGGGTTGCCAAGGCCAGTTTGCCTATTTCGACAAGGTCTTCAAGCTCAGGCCAAGTTTGCTGCTCCAATAGAAACCTAGTGAAGAAGTTAGCTAGCATGAACGACATCTTGGACAGATGTATGCCGACCGTCCACATTGAGCCCACATCGCGCAGGTCTTCGTGCAAGCGTAGAACCCGGGATTGCGCCTCCTTTCGAGCCTGAAACAATTCTTGAGTTGCAATACGTGCTGTACCCACAGCTGACATTGCTCCCACACATTGTACATCGTTGCCGTTTTGCCGTCTGGCCTCTTTGGGAACACATTTTCCATCAGATGTGATGCCTCTATGAACGACTTTTGCCGGTCTTCTGGCGTCATATAACGTAGGAAGTGAGTCTGGATAAGCCGATGGATGGAGTAAGTTTGGGTCTGCCTGTCTCTCTTAACGAGTGCTAGAGTCAATAGCTCTTCCATTGCCTCTTCAAATCTGCCAGGTACCTGATTAGCGACCACAACACATGCAACTTAAAGGGGCGTTGTCACCTATCCACATCAAGGAACCAGAGTAAGCTATCAGGCAGATCCTCGGCTTCTTTCAACTCAAATAGCGAATGAGGAATACTGTCAGGAGCGCAGTAGCTAAATGCAGCCAGCAAAGCGGCGCTGTCAGGCTTCAGATTCTGGAATGAAACCTTCCAGACCGCCTCTAAGCCGTCCTTGAAGTTTAGATTGCTTCCGTAATTATCGAGGAGTTGAGAAATTGACCATGACCGACGTTGAATGAGTCCACTCATGTTCGAGATTGCCAGCGCATGACCACTGAGTCTTTCGGACAGACTATATGCAGACTTCGCTTCGTTCGCCAGAAGATCTGCACTAATATGACCAGATAGTAGATGCAAGAGAAACTTGGTACCATTCTCTGTATTCCATGAGGGAACCTCGAGACCTCCACTGGCTGGGTCAAAGGCTAGCGAGTGGTTTCGTGTCGTGATCAATGCTAAGCCCTGGCTACCTGGCAAGGGCCAATTGGCCCGCAGAAGATCAAAACTCTCCACGTTGTCGTACACTATGAGCCATTTGCATTCTATTCACGTTAGTCGAGCCTCGGGATTCGAAGAAGCTTTGACGACTGACCCGTCTGCTGAAGCCAGTCCTTCACGATTAGTCGATTCTCTTCATGCAAGGTTCGTTGGGCTCCAGGGAGGTCTAGTCTCAGAGCAATATCGGTAAAGCTCTGCTGAAACGATATTATGTTCTCAGCGTGGACCCAGAATATCGCAGCGAGGCCTTTCTCCGCCTTCCTTTTTTCGATGTACTTCAAAGCGACATGACTCTTGCCTACACCACCCATGCCATAGAGCGCGAGTGATCGCAGGCCATCGATTCTCTGTTCTCCGAGTTGATGGTCTATTTCCTCGATGACTTCGTCACGGTTGAAGAATCGATTCGTACTGGCAGTGGGTAGCACATAGCAAGGCAACTTGGCCTTGTCAGCGAAGGACCGAGGGGAGAGGGCCAGAAACGACAACATCGTAGCCTGCCTCTGGGATATTTCTGCAATCTTCTCAATCTCTTTCAACGACTCATCAATCTCGGCCTGGGCATTGTCGTATATGACCGTCAAATTGGCCCACGATCCCTGCGCGTGACCTACAAGATATCAACGAGCGGAACAGTCAGGTTTGCGTAGTCCTAGATCCTACCGTGCGGCGATGAGAGGCTGGCAATGTCTCCAGCATCCCGCAGAAACCTAATAGCATCTGATAGAAACCTTGTCATCGAAACAAAGATCTCAAAGCATGCCTCCTTTTCATCCTTTGATGGAGTAGAACTTTGGCCCGCGTGGAGTTGGAAGGTCTGACAGGCTCGGCCCAACCTCTTAAGCATCTGAGTGATTCGCCGCGTTGCCTCTTCGTCGGGTAGAGCAATCTGCGCTGTTGTCAGTACAATCATGGCTTCGACAGTTTGAGGAATTATTAGCTTGCTGTTAGGATTAGCCCAAAAAGGCCCCAGAAGACTTCTGGATTAAGCTTAGGACCGAGTTTTGTGGAAAAGTAATCACTAAAGCTTCTTAGATACACAAAACGTGGCTCGAGCATGCCAATCTCCTGATGAATTTCGTCCATCCCTCCAAGGAATTCCTCTTTGATATCGTCATAATTCCTGAAAATCTTGATTGTTCGACGGTCGTTTGGCTCCATGCGCTCGGTTCCTGACTTCGAGGTAGATGCCCATTGCCGGGCGAAGTGTGCCTCCCTAGAATGTGGTCAGAGTCTGGAACATCGACAGATACCGTATAGAAATCAATATACATCTCAGATTGCTCCATGTTGAACGATAACTCCGTAGCTTCTCAATGAGTTTGAGATTATTTCCTCAGGAACGGGGCTGGGAAACGGAACCAAGAGACAAAAAGCTCTCGCTCCTGTGCGGGTTACAGCTCTACATATGTCCCCTTACAATTTCTCGAATGCGGCGCATCCACGTCGACATGCAAAGGCCCAGCGAGGAGTTGATTTGTGATACAATACAGACCTCCATTTACCTCGTGTAACCACATCTCTTCATTGAACGGCTGCAAAGCCCGGCTAGCCACTTTACACCAGTATGGTAGAACCCATCTTTAAGCTCCACACACCCCTCCAGCTCTGAGTTTAACGAGTCTTCAAGAGTTGTCGATGTGTCCATGTATTCCCTATAATCTGACAAACCTATAATCCCAGATTGCTATTGTTAACATGCCTTTGATGAAGCCTTGATACTGTAGGGTCGAATGGACAGATGCAACTTCGGTCGAGGCCGAAGAGTGCGGGGTTTACGTCCTTCGGATGCAGGCTGCCGTGTATTGCCAAGGTCGGCACCAAATGACATTCCCCTTTTCAGCGAAGAGAGCTTTTGATAGGATAGCCTGATATCGCTTGCAGAAGCTCATGCCACTTCGGTTGTAGGGTGGTGTAGAGCTCGTTGCCCGGCGTAGGCGCTCTCGCTCAGCCTGCTTCCGGTGTGCAGCATCGGAACAACCTTTCAGGCATAGATTCTGGCGCAAATTGAACATCAGTAAACAGTTGGTCAATCATGTCAGAGCTCGTTGTCTCATGAGGGCATTTTCTACACACATTGGGCGCCACACATGTTGCCTCGGTGACTGGGTGATGTGTGAGTGCCCGGGGCGCCTTGGATTTCTCTCGAGGCTGAGATTGACGGAAATTGATTGGAATACTTAAGCTTCTGTGATACCCTGGATTCTTACTTCGTAAGCTTTAGTGACCATAGCAGAGACAAGGAAGTTTCATATGCTTGTTGCTGCCTGCCGCTCCCTATCCAGCTGCGGCTGTCTGTGTCGCGTGGACTGGATGGCTGAGGTCACCCCGGCTGCCTGAGTAGAGTAAGCTCTCACTTCTTGGCACGTTGAATTCAGTCCTCAGGTGCAAAGTCAATGGTTGGATCAAGTTGAAAATGGTCGAATAATTGGCTGATTTCTCTTGCCTTCGGACTTCTCGGTCTCAGCCGGTCAGGAGGAAGTGGTATATATTCATAAGAATGGAATGACGTCTTAAATCACTTCTCTGGACAACAGTCCCTGAATTATACCTCATTGCTCAACCAAAGCCACAACAATCGACAAGTCTGGAAGTCCACCGTAGCGCGCAACGCGTAACGCAATTGTCCAGCTGCATTACAGGTAGATACCGCGACTGGGAATAAGATGTATGCATTAGCCCTAGACTCTATTTGGTGCGCAAGTAATTGATGCCAAATAGGATGAAGCTGGGGGAAGAATCTTTTCTCAGTAGGATACTACCAAACACTGGACCGAAATTAGAAGTCGACCTGGAGACGCAGGTCCAAGATCTCAACGGGCCGGAAGCATCGCCCTCGTCAACACTTCGCTCCCAAACCTTACAGGCCATCTTTGGTCTTTCAGGAGAAGAAATTAAGAGCTTTCCTGGTATTCAGGCCTACTGCGATCACATCGAGTCCCAAGTCAAACCCCTTACGGACTTCGGATTCTCGCCTATATGGCCGTCTTTATCCAACTCAACAGCATGCACAATTACAGACTGTTGGAAATTTCTGCTTGCAGTAGCTTATAACTTCAAGTCAGCAGAGAAGGACTACAGCATTGAGGACCTCAAAAACCATGTATTATCTTCAGGAGAGAATGTGAGAGAGTCTTCGGACGCTCTCCTTCTTGCGGCCGTCTTCGCTGCCGTATGCTTGTTGACCATGACTCTTCAACCGTCGTTGGATTTCGAACCTTTCGGGGGCCAGATCTGCCTCGCTTGTAGATTTCCAAGCCTTACCGATGAGTCGAGCCCGCAAGGTCAAATCGCCAGGCAGAACTTGAGGGAGGCAAAGCGGCCGATCAAACGAGTTTTCGAGTTATTCGAACACAGCGCGTGGGATGATCAACCGACAAACATGGATCATTCGATAGGAGAACATGATAGTCTATACGAAGGAAGTCTGAATCTTGAGGTTCTGTTGTTCGGACGTATTAAAATCCAGTGGGTGGACACGCTGAGTGAACATCTCAGGTTCGACCTGGTCAGCCGGCGTCTTTCCATCTTCAGCTTCCCGACATTCTGCGTTCTGTCTGCCCTGCGAAAAGGGGGGAAAGAGGCTACTCCTCTGCTCGACAGGTAAGTAAAGCTTGCTGGAGTCAACTATCTAATTGCCTTTCTAACAAGGTCATGGACAGCATCAATGAAGGCTTCATGCCGACCACTCTTGAAAATCGATACCAAAATTACGTCACCTTGGAACAAGAAGTCTTGGTCTCCTACCGCCTCCTCTTCGGACAGAGCGCTCGCTCGAGGAATCTCATCAGGTCAGACCTTAAGAAGCTCGAGCAGAGCGGCCAACCGTTCGACAACCTGCTATATACCCTCTGCGGTCCCAAGAAGGAGGCCGACAAACTGCCGCGCAGCATATGGCCGGTGGGCTGTAGAGACTTTGAGCAGGAGAAGCTCCTGGAGAGCGACGTTTACAGCGCCCAGAGCGACTTCCCGCGGTTGGGCTATCGCCTGATCAACCTTCAGAGGTTCAGCCTGCGCCAGAAGCCTCGCCGGTTGACGGACCTGTGGAGGGACCGCAGGAATCCGCTGCAGTGGTATACCTTTTGGGCGGTCCTGTGGGTTGGGGGAGCTGGTATCATATTGGCCATCATACAAACGATCCTTGCGGGGGTTCAAGTTGCCAAGTCGTGAAGGGCTGAATGTTACAATCCTTTGGCTAGGAAAGTGATTGCGTCCTTTATCCTACTCGATGGAAGTTTTCCAGGCAACGATGGGGAAGAATTTCCTGTTCTGGACTTTGTTGCTCAGACTGGAAATCAAATCTTCGCAAGGAGCATGGAAATAAGGATGACTTATGGGCAAGGTTTTGAGAAGCCTCGTGTGGCTTTATCGACCATTGGGCGTTCACTACGCAGACGACATCGAAGCTTAGACCAATAAAATCAGAATTGGAGTCAGACATTCCTGCATTCCTCGGCACTTCCCAGACTTCAAATCACCGCGATAATGTAAATGTCTCTCGTAGTAGGCAGGCACTGGCGACTCAAGGGAGTCAAAATGAAGCTTATTCTGACTCGCGGTTGCATCCCTCTTTACCTGCCAGCCACTTGGGTACAGCACCCAGAGATCTGGGTTAAGGACCGTGACGCCCACCACCACCTTTATCCACACAAGAGTTGCGGGCAGTTTCTGAAAGCTACGGATGTAACGACCACGCGTGCACACACACGCACACACACACACACACACACACATGCCTATTCTGACAAAATGTGGAAGGCGACGGCGGGACGACTAAACTACGGGCTTCGTGACTCGTGGAGAATCGACTGTTCTGGCCCATGAGCTGGCTGGCTGGCTTTACACAATCTCTCCAAAGTCGCCTCAACACACACGGTATGGAAGGGGGTTGTATTGGCTTATTTCCTTTCCATGGCATGGCTTGGCCGCTAAATCGTAGTCAATAAATCCCCTCTAAAAAGATTTGCGTCGGGATAGCCCTTTGAATCTCCGTGTCATGTAATACACTGAGAAATCCGTCATATCCCTGTGTAACCGTGGCTGGGGGACGGTATCGAATCCGGCGTCTTGCTTGAGCAAGAACAGCTGAAGATGTGACCCTGATCGTCGATGATGTCTCTGGCGCTCTCTTACCCCAGATCTAGGCACCCCCAGATCTTGATGATTCAGGACGCGGAGGTTCAAGCCCCGCACCATTGGGCAGTCATCCGGGTCACTATGTCGGCTCGTGAGGAGGGGTTGGCGTGGAGGTCCCCTTCCCCCAGCTTAACCTGGTTATCAGCGTGCATGGTCTACAGGGAGATCTTTCGCAGAAAATGAAATCAATACGGGCCTTCGACCCAAGTGGTATCATTCGATCATAACTCGTAAAACTATTGCTTCGGGTACAAATATACATTTACAGGTTTCGCAGGCCCCTCGGACGTATCAGACGCATCAGAACCAACGAGCGGCCACTGGTCGTCCTCGGCGACCTTTCTCGACCCGTCCATATTCAGCTCCCTCAGCTGAATCCCGTTCCCGTCAGCCGTGGGCGTGTACAAGCCGGCGTCATCCGCGACGTAGGGCGTCAGGGAGATCCGCGGCGGATACGTCAAGCTCCTGCCCCTTCCCCCCATCCTCGAAGAAGAAAACGCTTGTGACATCCGGGTGCGGGTGTTGCGTCGCTGCTGATTGTTGCTCATCCTCCTACTATTCCTCTCGCGGAGCCGCCTCGGAACGAGCCGTGCCACCAGGTAATCTCGAAACGTCTTGGTCGTGCCAAAAACGACAAACGTCAGCAGGCTAGCGGACACGCCGGGCAGAAAAAGTATGAGGTCCAGATGCAGTCGTTCCGTGCTGAGGTCCGGGCTCTCGCTCAACGAGTCGCGAGAATTTTGTTTTGCGGATGAAACTTGAAACATAATGGTCACCACCTGAAAGATGCTTTTCGAAGAAGAACGAAAAACCACCCGGTTAGCTTCGTCGACTCCACACTACAGACTTTGAGGCTTGGGGAACCCCCCCATTTGAGGCTGTACTTACGCTAACGCAACGAAAGCTATGCTGAATCGTACAACAAGCCATCGATCGTAGATACTTCGGCGGCGCGTTTCGCTTCCGCTGTCGAAGACGAGCGTGTCGCTGCTTTTCGTGCTGTTGGAGCGTTGACCATATTGGACATTCCAAGAAAGAAGGTTTCGGCGCGTGTGGATGTATTTGACCAAAATAACCATGAGGAGAACTCCGCTGCCGCTCAGACAGAAACCCACTGGCAAAAGGGTTAGATGCAGTTGATGTACAACGGGGT